ACTCTTGGAAGACTGGATTATATAGTATCGTAATCGTCTGCACGTTAAAATCCACACAAACTCTTGGAAGACTGGATTATATAGTATCGTAATCGTCTGCACGTTAAAATCCATACAAACTTTTGGAAGACTTGATTATATAGTATTGTAATCGTTTGCACGTTAAAATCCATACAAACTCTTGGAAAACTTGATTATATAGTATCGTGACGGTCTTGTGCTCAAAGCTATATGTTGAACTTTGACCTTCAGACTGACACCCACACTCTTAATTGATTTAATTCATACTTTCAAAAATTGATATTGAAATATCAAAGGTGCATTTTTGGGGAACTGTTGTTTTCATATTCAGATATTTTGTTTTTCAAGCTGCTTGAAATCACCCTACACAATCAGATATTTTGTTTCAAGCTGCTGAAATAACTATACAGAAAATGAAGATGTCATTGGTTGCTTAAATGTCCAAGGCATCCAAACAGTTAGACGTTTAAAATAACACCGTACAAATTTGGGAATCTCTCTGACATTATACACTACGTTACAGCTACTAGTTACCTTAAGTTATAAAATTTTACATTACGTTACAGCTACTAGTTACCTTAAGTTATAAAATTTTACATTACGATTCAGCTACTAGCCACTTTAAGTTATAAAATTTTGCATTACGTTACAATTACTAGTCACTTTAAGTTATGAAATTTTACATTATATTACAATTACTAGTTACTTTAAGTTATGACATTATACTTCAGGTTACAGTTGCTAGTCACTTTAAGTTATAAAATTTTACATTACGTTGCAACTACTAGTTACATTAAGTTATAAAATTTTACATTACGTTACAGCTACTAGTTACATTAAGTTATAAAATTTTACATTACGTTGCAACTACTAGTTACCTTAAGTTTTAAAATTTTACATTACGTTACAGCTACTGGTTACATTAAGTTATAAAATTTTACATTACGTTGCAACTACTAGTCACTTTAAGTTATAAAATTTTACATTACGTTGCAACTACTAGTTACCTTAAGTTTTAAAATTTTACATTACGTTACAGCTACTGGTTACATTAAGTTATAAAATTTTACATTACGTTGCAACTACTAGTCACTTTAAGTTATAAAATTTTACATTACGTTACAGTTACTAGTCACTTTAAGTTATGACATTGTATTTCACGTTACAGTTACTAGTCACTTTAAGTTATAACATTGTATTTCACGTTACAGTTATTAGTCACTTTAGGTTACAACAATGTATTTCACGTTACAGCTACTTGTCACTTTAAGTTATAACATTGTATTTCACGTTACAGTTATTAGTCACTTTATGTTATGACATTATACTTCACGTTACAGCTACTAGTCACTTTAAGTTATAACAATGTATTTCACGTTACAGCTACTTGTCACTTTAAGTTATAACATTGTATTTCACGTTACAGTTAGTTGTCACTTTAAGTTATAACATTGTATTTCACGTTACAGTTACTAGTCACTTTAAGTTATGACATTATACTTCACGTTACAGCTAGTTGTCACTTTAAGTTATAACATTGTATTTCACGTTACAGTTACTAGTCACTTTATGTTATGACATTATACTTCACGTTACAGCTACTAGTCACTTTAATTTATAACATTGTATTTCACGTTACAGTTATTAGTCACTTTATGTTATGACATTATACTTCACGTTACAGCTACTAGTCACTTTAAGTTATAACATTGTATTTCACGTTACAGTTACTAGTCACTTTAAGTTATGACATTATACTTCACGTTACAGTTACTAGTCACTTTATGTTATGACATTATACTTCACGTTACAGCTACTAGTCACTTTAATTTATAACATTATACTTCACGTTACAGCTACTAGTCACTTTAGGTTATAACATTGTATTTCACGTTACAGCTACTAGTCACCTTAAGTTATAACAAGAAAGAACAGTTTATCTTAATTTATTGTTTTGTCTTTAACAAAGACATAAAACGGAGGTCTGTTACTCATTGTCACTATTTCCTTGAATAATAATACAGTAGAATGTTTTTATCACATTGTTGCTTTAAATGAAAAGAAATTTGTATGAATATTATAATATTATTATATTTCTGAAAGGTTCACGAAGATGAAGATAACAACCATCTGGAGAGAAGATCTAAGATGAATCTCGAAGTTCCTAAGTTAGAGTGTGGATTCTGTTCTAAAAGTAATTTTTCCTGTTTCGAAGCCCTACAACTTCACGTGCAAGCTATCCACGTGCCTCCTAGTGGTAATTTCACCCCATTCTTTAATATCTCTCCAGGGTCTTATTTCGGATACTGTCAACCACAAGACCGTAAAGAGAAATTTGGCTGTGAATACTGTCACACAAAGTTTAGCAGTATGTACAAGCTCATAGGGCACCGAATGACAGCCCACGGTATCAATGGGTTTGGTTTCTTCGCCCAAGAAAATGTATATTGTACTGAGTGCACAATGGGGTTTTCCAGCGTTGCACAGCTCACAGATCACGTGAATACCAAACACGAGGTTCTTACTATCCAGCAAAATATATATCTGGGAGACCAATATAACAATGCTAGTAGTCGAGCCAAGAGTTCCAATCATAGTACAGGACCTACTGATGAACCCCTATATAATGGGGATTCAAACCATAACTCTTCTGATCCTGTCCTATGTAATCAACGCAAAGCAAACTCCAGTCATAGTACAGGACCTACTGATGAACCGCTGTATAACAGGGATTCCCACCATAACTCTTCTGAAGTTTGATTTGCGTTGATTACATAGGACAGGATGAGAAGAGTTATGGTGTGAATCCCCATTATATAGCGGTTCATCAGTAGGTCCTGTACTATGATTGGAGTTTGATTTGCGTTGATTACATAGGACAGGAAGCGGTTCATCAGTAGGTCCTGTACTATGATTGGATATAATGGGGATTCACACCATAACTCTTCTCATCCTGTCCTATGTAATCAACGCAAAGCAAACTCCAATCATAGTCCAGGACCTACTGATGACCGCCTATATAACAGTGTTTCACACCTAAACTCTTCTACTTCCATATTGTATAATCAAAATATCGCCACCTTCCTAGATTTTGAGACCTTTAAAACTAGTCTAAAATATCATTTAAACATTGCTGTTCAGACATATAAGTGTTCTAAATGTGAAATCCAATTTGCCACAGAGGACCAACTGGCTAATCACGTGATCGGTCATTTTTTGACTACAACAATCAAACATGGTTGTCAATATTGTTTGAAGCTATTCTCTAAACCAGACGAACTACAAAAACACCTACTCGAAATTCACGCCATCCATCTTTACTGGTGTTCACTGTGTGAGGAAATGTTTGATTCCAAGGTCAATATCCAAGTACACTTCGCTGTGAAACACAGTCGGGAAAGCACTATATTGAAGTGCACTTCTTGTGAAGCTGTCTTTTGCTCAGAGCTAGACTTCCAGTTCCACGTAAGAGTTGCACATTCGTTCCGGTTTCGACCATTTTGTTGTCTCCTATGTAACCAGGGCTTTCCAACGGAGGAGTTACTGGGACACCATCTCAGCACGCACAAGAAACAGTACTCCTGTAAACGGTGTAATAAGACATTCCACGTAGAGCACCTCTTAGATAAACATGTCCAGTCCCATCATCTTGCTGATTCTTTACCTTCGAGCGAAGTCGCAGGTGATCCGGTGTTAAGTTCCTGTTCATCCGACCTTATGGCCAACGACAGAATGACAATTTCTAGTAGTGACCATGACCAAATCAAGAACGGAATGTCTAGCTTCGCGCCCCTACAAATTAGCAATGAAGCAATCAACACTGGGGACCATAGAAAGTTTTGCTGTGATGTCTGTAACGAAACTTTCTTTTTTAAGTCTCAGCTTATTAGTCATCACTTCCACACACACAGAATTAAAACGGCTGGTTCCCAAAAAATGGAACAGATAACAATAAGCTTGTTTTGTTCTTATTGTAAAAAAAGTTTCAACTCCCACTCGGAGCTCGAAACCCACGTTAGAATCCACGCTGCTACTCGACTTATACGATCATGCGATACATGTGATGAGAAGTTTTCGTCGGTAGCTATACTGGCCAAACATAAACTCGCCCACTGTAAGGTAGTAAAAGAACAGATATGTACCACGTGCAAAACAAATGTTCACAGTAAAGAAGAATTTACGAAACACCTGAAAGATCACAGTGGCCATAGTTTACCCGTTCCATGTATAATATGCCAACAAACGTTGGAATCTGAAGAGGAGGTCAAGCTGCATATTAACTTTCACCTGAATCCAGCTGACCTCCGACACAGCTGCTGTGTCTGTTCAAGAGAGTATGTCGTGCACGAGCTGATTATCACGGCCAGACGGGAGAATGGTCATATCTACATGTGTAAACAGTGTTTTCACGCCAAGGGTGAGAACTTACCACCTAGCGAGTGTCAATTGAACTGCGAAAATACTGGCACATTAGAGAAACACCTACTTACACACGCGAGGAGGTTTCGGTGTGTTAAATGTCAAAGTGCCTTTCAAAGGGAGGAGAAGGGAGTCCAGGTTCACGTCACTACCCACCTGGTCCAAGAAAGCACAAGGCACGAGTGTAAGTTATGTTATCGAGTGCTGGACTCTTCTGCTAAGCTACAGTGTCATTTGATTGAACACAGCTTCAATGGAAGTGCCGACTACACTTGTTACGTATGCAATACAGTGTTTTCTTCTCCTAATGACATCCAGCAACACGTGCAGCAGCACGGATCCAACTCACGGATCCACCATTGTTCATACTGTCACCAGAAATTCTTTTTTCGAGCAGAACTTAATAATCATGCTTTCATTCACGACAGTTCTGCAGGCAGTAAGAGAAACCACAACAAAAAGCAGGAGGCTACAACAACAACAACATTGAAGTGCTCTTTGTGCCCGCAAATGTTTAACACATCTGCCGACCTGCAGCAACACTACATTGGTTCTCATGGTGACAGAGAACTCGAGGAATGTAGACGTTTTCCTGACGAATTGTTTCCTCGTTTCGGTAACTTGCATGGCCATATACGAAATCATGCTAAAGAGATGAAGTACACCTGCGCCAAGCGTGACAAGGAATTTGGCCTCTCTCGAAATCTCGGCATTTACATTCGATCTCGTAGTGGGGAGAGGCGTTACGAATGCTCTTTTTGTAAAAGACGTTTTTCTCGCAAAGAAAATCGTAGAACTCACGTAAAGCCTCACGGTGGCTTGAAACCTTCTATGTGGCAAAATGTTTCCACTTAAAAAACACATGCGTATACATACACCCCTGTGAACTGTGTAATGAAGCCTTCCCTTCTGTGTAATAGCTACGGCGCCATCTTGTGGATACTCATCAGCAAAGCTTTGGCCATGTATGTTCGGTGTAAGGAGACTTATTCGTGCAGGCTAACAAACTGGAACGCTATAAAAGGAACTTACATTGTGTAATAACAATAATAGGTGGAGTCGTGCCTCGTTTGTCTCAGTTTTTACGTGAGCAAAAGAACGTAGAATGTGGTTTATTGAGGGGTGGCGGCCCTTCTTTAACAGGTGTGTGTATGTGTGTGTGTGTGTGTTTGGAATTAAGCACAATGCTACACAATGGGTTATCTGTGTTCTGCCCACCACGGGTATCGAAACCCGGTTTCTAGCGTTATAAGTCCGCAGACATACCGCTGTGCCACTGGGGAGGGGGGGGCTTCTTTGACAGAAACAACAGAGAATAGAATCTCTTCATCATAGGTCCGTATTTTATTAATTGTCCCCGATTGGCACAGCGGCATGTCTGCGGACTTACAACACTAGAATCCGGCTTCCGACACCCGTGCCATAGCACAGATAATCCATTGTGTAGCTTTGTGCTAAATTAAAAACCAACAACCTTTATTAATAAATAAGAATAAGAAATTTATTCGGGTGTTATGTTGTGGCCGAAGAAACAATCATGGAAAAAAAATGTTCAGTTTATGAAAACTGTCTATTCGAAAAATTCTAAGTTGTTACAGGAATATCAGACACAATTTGTGGATATATCTTTTAGAATGTTATTGTAAATTGTTAAAGTCCAAGGGTTCCGCTAGGAAAAAATAAAATAACGAGTTTAATGTGATGCCTAAAATTACGACAACAAGGAATATTGGGCGATATTTTATTCGTCAGTCCCGATATTCAACCTGGAAAAAATAATGTAAAAATGATCTTCAATTTTCAGCAAAGCCTTTTTTCTTCTTTTATTTTCCACACTAAAACAACACGTAAAATGTTTCCCAGTTTTTTGTGTAAACTGAACGTAATTGTATATCTAATCATGTGAAATATTACGAAAAAAAATGTCTTTCCAATATATTAAAATCAGGATATGCGAAGTCTACGCCTATAAGGTGGTTTTCGCATCCAGTTAAAGTAGTAACCTTACACCATTAGGCCCTCCAGTGGTTCAGCGGTAAGTCTGCGGACTTACAAATAAAAACCGATACTCTTGGTGGGTGGAACAAGGATAGCCCACTGTGTAGCTTTGCGCTTAACAACAACCAAACCAACACCATCAATTATGTCTTCTTTAGAAAACTTTCATGGCTCAGATATTATCAATAATTATCTCAATAAACTATTGTACTGTGGTGTCATATTTTTGATGATCTATGATGATACGCCTGTCAGCGAAATCCACGTGCGAAGAACTCTGAGCGTTCAGAAGTTTGACATCTCACTCTGCTCAAGTTTGAAAGAGTTGTATAGTTATGTTAGCAAGCTTACCTGTTGGTTAGACAATGAAATCTGCTTGGAATTAGCTCTAATGTGCTTTACTAGAAAAATAATTTCGAAAAAAATAAAGTGTGTTTGTGTACGTTTGAAACAGGATACAATTCCTGATGTGATAACAAAGCCAGTGTATTTTTTACCCAAAAAAAAAGGCCCAGTAAACTTGACTTCGAGTCGACTGGTCAGAAAATCATAATAAAAAGAAAACATTGATTTGCCACAGTCTTCCTTGCGGTTCTGGTACCCAACTGTTTGTGATCTTAGTAATAATATTACAGTGATCCTAGCGATTACAGTGTACTGGTATGTCTCTTTTGGTTCTCTTTACATTATCATACATGGGTTTTTCCGTCCTAAATACGCTTTTGTTCTTTAAAAAAAAGTTCAAAATGGAAGATGTTCCAAACAAGTGGCTGAATAAATGTAATTGTCACGTTGAGAGATAAAACAGTGATCTCCGTGTTACAAACGCTAGGACTTAATTGTCACGTTGAGAGATAAAACAGTGATCTCCGTGTTACAAACGCTAGGACTTAATTGTCACGTTGAGAGATAAAACAGTGATCTCCATGTTACAAACGCTAGGACTTAATTGTCACGTTGAGAGATAAAGCAGTAATCTCCGTGTTACAAACGCTAGGACTTAATTGTCACGTTGAGAGATAAAACAGTGATCTCCATGTTACAAACGCTAGGACTTAATTTCACGTTGAGAGATAAAGCAGTGATCTCCGTGTTACAAACGCTAGGACTTAATTTCACGTTGAGAGATAAAGCAGTAATCTCCGTGTTACAAACGCTAGGACTTAATTTCACGTTGAGAGATAAAGCAGTGATCTCCGTGTTACAAACGCTAGGACTTAATTGTCACGTTGAGAGATAAAACAGTGATCTTCATGTTACAAACGCTAGGACTTAATTGTCCCGTTGAGAGATAAAGCAGTGATCTCCGTGTTACAAACGCTAGGACTTAATTGTCACGTTGAAAGATAAGACAGTGATCTCCATGTTACAAATGTTGGAATTCCTCCACACAAACAAAACTCGTTTTCTAGTTTTTGCTAAGATAAAGTGATGTCATGGTGCTAGTTATTACTTTAGTTTATTGCATATTTATCGCTTACTATTATAAGTCTTAACTACGTTTTAAACTGTTTTTATATTTGTTTTTTTATTATTACGTTTCGTGCAATATACGATTATACAGACTTTTTGGTGGAGCTTGAGCCATAGTGCTACATAAAGTCAATATATTCACTGATGTCCTAAGCATAAAATACTTAATTTGACGTGAATTGATGAATCATTTAATCTGACAATACATATATAAATAACATCTAAAGCTGCAGTGTTCTGACAGCATTACTTTGATAACAATGACTTAAGAAAACAGAAGTAAATTGTGGTCAAAATGAACGCATTCAATGACCTCAGTCAACAAACATGTTAATATATATAACGTTTCGCTGCTTACTCGCTAACGAGTAAGCAGCGAAACGTTATATATTAACATGTTTGTTGACTGAGGTCATTGAATGCGTTTATTTTGAACACAATTTACTTCTGTTTTCTTAAGTAAGTCATTGTTATGAAACGAAAACGAACGAGTAAGCAGCGAAACGTTATATATTAACATGTTTGTTGACTGAGGTCATTGAATGCGTTTATTTTGAACACAATTTACTTCTGTTTTCTTAAGTAAGTCATTGTTATGAAACGAAAACGCATTTTCGTTGCATTTTCGAATTTAAAACACGTTGTTTCGGATTTTGGAAAATGAGAAGCATTACAAACTCTGTTTAGTTTTTGACAGACGATGTTTTGTTTAAGGACTTGTGTTTTGTTATAGGGGGCGCAGTTTAGATTTTGGTAGCTCATAACAAAATTAAGATGATGTTTTAGAAATTATCGATTTTAACTTTTCGTTTAGGTTTTATTTCAAATCATGTTTTTCATTTAGTTATTTTTTTATGGGAACTATTATATAGGGTTTGTTTGAGACAATATTTACTTTAGGGTTTCAGTGACATAGGTTTTGTGTAAGGTTTATATGAGCTTATGTTTCGTATTTGTGCGATCACGTTTCGTGAAGACTTCTGTAATATTATGCTTCGTTTAACATCTTTATGAAATGATGTTCTGTTTTTAATTTTTATAAAAATTGTTTTGTTTCGGATTTGTATAAAATAACGTTTTGTTTTGGATTTGTATTGAATGATGTTTTGTTTTTAATTTGTATGGAATGAAATTTTATTGTGGGTGTTCCAGGAGATGTTTTCGATTAAGGTTTTCATGATTAAATTCAAAGGTATTGATCAACGAGATGATTTTATTGTTATCAGTTGTTGTAGTATTAAAACGCATAGGAAATATTTCCTTACTTTTAAGATTGTTAACTTGAATCTCCAAGACTGAATTACAACTTATCTGTATAATTAGTAATTAATAAAGTAATTAATTGTTTACTTTAAATGAATTAACTTAATTTTGGAAAAAATTTCAAACCCTGAAATGGTAGTAGTTTAGATTGTTTTGTTAACGAGGCATACATACAGACATAAATCTTATTATTAGTATCTAATGTGTATTTGTGTGTGTATAACAATCAATATCTTTACATATATTTTGGAAAAAAAAACTTGCAAAAGTCATGTGTTCAAATAAGTCTAATCTGAGTCTCGTTACAATTATTTTCGGTTTAATTTCAAACCTTTTTTTTTCTGCTGTTTTAATATTTCTGTCATCATCTAATTTCTATTTGTGTCATTAACTCGAGCTGTAAATACAGCTTTATTATAAACTACTGGCTTATTATACATTCATACAGAAGAGTGGTTTACTATTTTAAAATTATGTTGTATATTACCAGTTTCTTTGTGCGTATATATATAGATGTATATATTCACTATTTTCACGAAAAATATAGTTATTTTCTGTTATAAAATTAATTTGGGCAATTTGTCCTTATGTTTACAAAGTTCGCGATGTTAAATACAAATTGACCTTAAACTAACTCTCAAAATTTAAAGTCTTATATCGTCATAAAGAGCTGCGTTTCTCAAACTTTAGTAACCCTAAGACTAAATTTAAAACTTTTTCGCGGATCCCAAACCTATCGATGTATTTTTGTTGTTGTTGTTTAAACGTGATTCAGTGTACAAGTATTCCAGAATTCTCTGTTTTCATTCATATAGATTTAATTTAACGGAAATTATATTTTATTTTATTAATCATATTTTGTTTAAATATTTTAATGACATTTCGGACATGACTTCTGATCCCAGTTTGAGAAACTATGATTTAGAGTTTTTGTTTTTTCTACTAAAGTTGAGTAACACCGCACAGGATTATTTTATTTCATTAAAAAAAAGCATCACCGAACAACTAAGAAGGCTATAACTTGTTCTAGTCAGACCAATCAAAACGAAACAAATGTATCAACAACTAGGAAGGCTATAACTTGTTCTAGTCAGACCAATCAAAACAAAACAAATGTATCA